AATAAATTTAAAAAAGAGTTTTAAGTTACCCTATTTGTGGTGCAAAGAACTGCTATTGGCACAATATTCTTCTTCTCCCATTCTTTGACATGGTTCCCTCTCCCCGTACATATAGCAGGACTGTTCCTCTAGTTCCTATGTTTTGTTGTTAGGACAATGTAAATAACTCTGGCCAATAAGTTGTAAGTAGAAATGACAATTGTTACACGTAGACACATAAGACACAGATGTAAAACCCACCAGAGCCTTCCTTCTCTCTGGGATAGCAACTGACAATATTCTGAGAGAGGCCTTGCCCTCAGCCTGGGTCTCAGAGTAGACATGCTGAAAAAGACACCCCAGCCAATATCTGATACCCTATAGCTTGAGCAAGAAACATTCCTCTGTGGTTGAGCCACCAGAAGGAGGGTTAGTCTTCATGGCAGCATCACCTTGGTTGACTTAGAATTTTTGCAAAGGTCCTGTCATTGGAATGTGGGGGCACTTGCCTTAATTTCTTTTTTTTTTTTTTTTTCTTCTCTTATAGCTAAGGCCTTTCCTGAAGCTGAGGCAAAGTGTCCCATTGAACTCTGCAAGTACTCATCTTTGGGGTTGACAGCATAGCGCTGACCTAGAGGTAGAGAGTGCCTGGCTCCTAATCCTGAGCACACCCTTCACTGTCTCTGTGTCCTTAGGCAAGGTGCTTGACCACATAGTACTTCAGTTTACTCATCTGCAAAACAAGGGTGAATGTTTCTGTTGCATAGGTTATCATGAGGACAATTATAGTTAATATTTTAATGAGCTTGGATTAGGGCCAGCCACGTAGCAAATTCTACATGTGTGCTTATTCATAAATGGGATACTTTGCTGAACTCCACCTCTCTTCCAGGCTAGCCAGATACAGCTGAATTATCTCCAGCTTGATGCTCTCCTTTGTTCTGCTCACTGCTTTGCTTTGGGAGGGGCTACAGTTTATCCTTATCTGTCTGTCTGTGTTGAAAGGCTACATCCTTGAGTGAGGACATTCACCACTACTTGCAGAAAGTTCTTAATTTCTTTATGCAACAATTGATCACATTACCACCATCAAATACTTCTCAGTTCTCATCTAATTAATTTCTGTAACTCTGGCCATTCCGATTTCTCTTTAGACAAATCTGTGCGGTGCAGAAGTGAGCTTTCCCGCAGAATGCTCTGAAAAATACCAGGGGCAGCTACTTCATTATGAGAATTGAACATGCTTTAAAATTTGTGTTATTGTATCTACGACCCACTCTAGCTTTGACCACAGGAGGGGATAAATTGCTCCAGAATTTTGGAGGTGGAGGTAGTGTTAGAGCAGCTTTCTAAATTGATATGACAGTCAGAATCAAGTTCTCTTAACTTACTTTATTGAAATTACTGATATGCTATTGGAAGATTGACTCTGTGCATTGCTGTCAAACAAACTCTTGCTGCTTCTAACTAGTGTCATTCCTATCGGACCATTTGAGGGCTAAGGACTTACAGGTGAGGTTAGGTGTGGCTCTAGAACTCTGGGATTTATTAAATGTCATGGGAGCTGGTCGGAAATGAACTGCTAGAAAAATGCCAAGTCTCTTCTTGAGTATGGTGCTTTTATTTTGGATACAATTCGTTACTTGCTATTCTTTTTTTTAATACATTTCACAATTACATTTGTATTACAGTAACTCTCAGAGTCTCATAGTTAGAATATATTATAATAGGGGATCACTGGGTGGTGCAGCGGTTTAGCGCCTGCCTTTGGCCCAGGGCACGATCCTGGAGACCTGGGATCGAATCCCACGTCGGGCTCCCGGTGCATGGAGCCTGCTTCTCCCTCTGCCTGTGTCTCTGCCTCTCTCTCTCTCTCTCTCTCTCTCTCTCTCTCTCTCTGTGACTATCATAAATAAATAAAAATTAAAAAAATTAAAAATTCTTTAAAAAAAAGAATATACTATAATAGACAAAAGCTATAGGTAGTTTTACAGTAATTTAAGAGAAATAATTTTTTCCATTAATTGTTAAAAGATTCTCTTTCTCCACTTCCCAGGTAGGAACTTAGAGAAACGTTTCTATGAAATCTAAGATAACCTTGGAATGAATCTAGTCTTTTAGAGTATATATTCTCCTTGAGCATTTATTAGGACTCTAACATTTTATTCTGCTGTAAATTTTAGTTGCTATCCTATTCTTTACAACCAACTTTTCAAGGTTTAATGTCAATTCCTAATTTGACTTTAAACTTGGCAAGTTTTTGAGAGCATGTGGTATAATATGAGCTTCAACTTCCCTCACTCATCTCTCCTGCTTTTGTTGAATTCCTTTGGGAAGCAGCGAAGACAGCAAGAGGTGTGTCAACATCAATTGTGATTGTTATTTGTGGGAAGGAGATGTGCTCAGATTCTTGCTGAAAGCAAGCTCTATACAGCTCTTAGGTAAGGAATAGCACAGAGAAATCCATGTATAGGAGGGAAATCTCAAACAGGAGTTAAAGTCATTGGTTTGTATGTTTTCTGAATAAAATGGTTCATTTTATCTAGTATTGTGCACAATATAACCAAAGAAAAGTTAAGTGATAGAGCTGTGTTTTGTGCAACTGTTTTGGCAGAGTTTGGATTTTCAAAACTAAAGCTCAGGCTTCTGGAAAAAGTAAGATTCCTTGTCTGCTTTCAGTTACATGCCTGAAGTTCACAATAGGTCAGAATCCTATAAATTGTACCTGGATTTCCTTTAGAAATAATTTTACATTGTAACCATGACTAGATTAAAGACCTGACATTCAGAATAGAAGTTACCACAAATGCCATATTTATCTTACAAAAAATGAAATTTATATACTATAGCAAATATTAATCTACTAAACAAGGGCCAACAGTAACCAAACAGAAGCCTTATTCTAATGCGAGTCTGCATTATAGTTTACAACATGAAATTCTTATTTTATCCTTTCATAAATCTTGCCTAATTTTAACATGGTAAATCAAAGAGATTTTTAAAATCAGAGTTAAAGAATTCCAAACTCACATTTTTGGGGGTAGATTTTGATAAATAGCTTTGGGGGAAATTGGGTAGAGTCAGAGTATTCCAACCTTTATAAGAAATAATCTGATGTGATTCCTTTTCTGAGTTATTATAAATTTATCTTCAGAAACCAATGTCTATCCTTCCAGGAGACCTTCAATTTTATCTGTCACCTTCTTCCATGCTCCTTAGCTTCATATCCTACTTGTCTCAATATTATACCTAAAATTTATTGAGATCTAATTCCATGCAGATAATCTGCTAAGGGACTGGTTGCTGACTGTAAAGCAACTATCATTATCATTCTTTTGCCAGTGAGGACATATGTCTCAAAATCAGCAGTGAACCTGATACTCAAAAGCAGATACACTTGTTGCCAAAGTCTAGGCTTTCACTGCTCTATAACTCTACCTGCTAAAGTTTCCATCTTATTTTAATACATCATTTGCATAAAATCAGAGAACTGAGAACTGTCTAGAGAAAACAACTTCTATATCTTCACATGCTTTAAACTGTATGTTAGGTTTTCTAAATTTATGAAATTAATGAAATCTGTTGTCTTTCACATTTATTTTAAACAATCTTCCCTCCATGCATCATTTGGCTCTTCTTAAATCTTTCAAGACTGTATCACGTAAACCTCACAAACCTTTGTTAGGTTACAGGTTTTGTTGCCCACAGGTTTTAGTGAAACCACTTGTCTGTCCCAGCCCAGTTGCCCAGCTCTATGGCAGAAAGTGGAGGTCCAGCATTTTGGGTCTAGGGCAGATCAATCTCAGAGAGGGAAGGAACAACCTCCCAGGCCAATGTAAGGACAGCTTCCTGTTCCCTCGTAGCTAAAGCTCGGATAAGACGTCCTGCTTATGAGACCCATCATCCCATTGCCTGAGTGAAGATTCTTTACACTCACCTATGAGGTGATTATTATTTGTATACCTCATTTGTCATGTATATATTCAGGCTTAGAAAACTCATGCAGCTAGAAAAGTCATGCAGCTAATATAGTAGGGTCACTTCGGTGGCATATGCTAAGAGCTGAGATTCTAGATCAGTTGTTTCTGAATTAGAAGAAATTGCAAAGAGCTCCACGTGCCACAGAAGACATGTTAGAACAAGGAGTAATTCAAGATCTGGAGAACATATGAGGAGGCCTGAGGCAGTAACCCTGCTCTCCCTGGACAGACCACCACACCTACAAAGAGGAGACGGATAATCAAAACTAAACTTCCGCCTACATCTGAGAAACTGCATGCTTACATTGACCATATGCATATGCATGGCTCATATACTGCTTGTATTTACTTTAATGCAACGATTCACTGCAGCCCTATTATGGTTACATCGCAATAGAAGACAGTGAGGATGGCAGCATTATTATTAATTATTCGTGTGGAAAATGAAAAGGCTGAGTCGAACCCAATTATATGGAAACAAATGATTTCGAGAAAGTGTCACTGTCTTTTTAAAACTTAAAATCCAAGCAGTGCTTGCCTCTGCCATTACATATATGAGTTTCTATTTGTTTATTTCTAAAATAGCTATTCATCTGAAATCTACATCCTGTGGAGTGACTGCACGTGCTTAATTGCTTGCCCCTAAGCAAACCATTACTGCAACTATAACTCTATTACAGTATGCACAGAGGGGAGAAATAGCGTTTAAGTAAAGTTTTACACCCTCTTTTGCAACCAATCCCCCCCTTCCATTTTAAATTAATTTATTTTATTTAACGCTGGTTTTTTTTTTTTTTTTTTTTTTTTCTCTCAGAGGGCCAAGAGATACTGGAAGGTCCAGTTATTGTACTTTACTTTTCACGCATGGTTAAAAGTCAGAAGAAAGCAGACCTGCTTTGCATCTCCCACTTTTCACATGCAGAAAAACAGAATGAGCTTATTAATACACAAGCAGATTGTGAGCATGAATCAAGTATATGTTAATTATTTATTAGGTAACGCATGGGGTGGTACTAGTGTTTTTCGAGAAATCTATATCCTGTGCTCACTTTGGCAGCACATTTACAAAAATTAGTCTGATACAGAGAAGACTAGCATGGCCCCCAGAACGGATGACATGCAAATTCGGGAAATATCCATATCCCTTTGGTGCCTAACTCTTCATGTCCCTTTTCTGTTCAAAATAGTAAACTGTGTCATTTCCTTAGGTTCACTTGTAAAGTATTGGGGTTTCAGTCTCTTTATCTTGGCACAGCTAATGGGTCAACCACTTTCTGATAATCATCTGAAATAGATTTAATACATATATATTTGTTTCTTATCTTGAGTCTTTAAATTGCAATCAAAATGAAGAGGGAAAAAGGGAAAGAGGAAGTGAATATCTCAAATTATCTGTGTTCTGATTTCCTAAAGAATCCACAGCTACAACCTCCCACCAGAGGATTTACAAAATACTTCTTGACTTGTCTGTTTATCTACTTTTCTATTTATTTGTTTGTCCATTTTCCTTCTTGAGGCAAAGGGGACTGCTAATATTTTTTAGGCTAACCATAGTGTCCAACTGCATCAAATTTAGATTTTTCACTTTCTTTTAATGAGATATAGTCTGGAAAATCTTAGTCAAAGAAAAATTTGACTAATGTGATTTGACTAGAGATACTTGACTAGTATGATTTCGCTTTCTTATATGATCCAATTAAAAAAAATCATGGACAAGGAGAAATGAATGGCTGATATACCTGAAAAGACAAGTGTTGAAAGTGGGAATTGTTGCATCACTGTCATCCTTTCTCCACTGTTGTGCTCATATGCCATTTTTGGCAAAGTCCCTGGCTGCCACTGCCATCACTGAGAGCGCATCAACTTCCATGTTGCCCGGTGAGTGCCCTGAGCATCTTCCACCAGAGTTCTCAGTCTCCCCAACCCTCTCTTGGATCCACTGAACTGTATCATTTCTCCACCCTCAGCATAAAACCTTGGTGTTCTATAACTTGCCCTTTAAAAAGAAAAAAAAAAAAAAGATGGAAAAAAATGAAAATAGCTAAGATAACAGACATAGGTAATAAGTAATAAAAACTAAATAGCACATAAAATTTTGGAAAAAGTCTGGCCTTCATGGTAATCCAAGAAATAATAAGAAACTATCCTGATAATTTGATGATAATATAATTATTTTAATGGTAATGGAAACTGGTGCAATCTTTTGTTAGCCCAGTGTTCAGATCTTCTTTTTCTTTTCTTTTTTATTTTTTTCAGATCTTCTGATAAAGGAATCCCAATCCCAAAAATTCATAGAAAGAAAAAACGGCAAACATTTATTCATCATCATCCTTAATTTAAAAAAGGAAAAACAAAAAAGGAAAGAATCTACACTGACAATGTTTACATGAGTTTCGAAGCATAATCTTGATTAGATATTACACATTTTACAATATAAAAAAGAAGTTAGAGTCACAGTTTCAAAGATCAATTTAAGTACCTATTTGATAGGCAGTATGCCAAACAGTCACATTTATATTCCATGTAATCCTTAAAATAACCATATAAAGTAAACATTTTCCAAAACTAAACCATGCACTAAATTTTATTGTAAACTATAATAATATGTACGTATTGTTTGGGAAAAAAAGGAATGAAAAGCAATTTAGGTAAATAAAAATAGCTTTGCTATGGGATGTTAGGAATGTGATATTTTTCTCTCAAATTTCCCTTTAATATCCTTGTAATCTTATTTTTACATTATGAGGAAAAAATAAACCTAGAGAAATACAAACCTGGTAAAAAAAAATACTGTTCTCACAGAGTCTACGATGGTTATGAGACAAATGTAGGTAATGACAGCAGACACTGATGCCTAGACAATAAATAATAAAAAAATAGGAAAGAAAAACTCTTTTGTTTTAAAGAAAACAACAGAGCTCGGCTAGAGAACCATCTTATATAATGTACACAAATAAAAATGGGTTCATTTAACTTTTCTTCAACGTAGTTGAGTGTGAGAACTTGGTATTTTCTTTGCATTAGTTGAAACCATCAGGTTTAAAAGTATATCTGAAGGTAACACGTGGGATTTTCTTGGAGGTAGTAGTCAATTAATTACCTGAAAAAATCTGAAATAACTCACCAATCACAAACATAGCCCCCACTTAATTTGTTTTCTAAGATTTTTTCAGTCAGATGTTTCCCAAAGTCAAGTTCTAGCCTAAACTGCTGGATTGAATGAGAACAGGAACACTTACCTTTTGAGATTCAGGAGAACATCCCTTTTTCTCACAGTCTGTAACTTCAGTTTTTGAAGCCAGCATCTTGTGTCTTATTTGGACCCTAATCAAAGCCAAACACCGTATTATATGTGAAAACCTGGCATGGCAATTGCCAAAATGGAAATGAACTATGAAAGTCATTTGAGGAGAATGCCAGATATTAGAAAATCGGAACCACCCTCTGCTCCGTGAAGAATAAATAAAAATGAAAGATCGTTTTTATAGGCCGCTCTGTTGAAGCTGATGTCAGTAGAAAAGGCAAATATTAACTGGTAAGTTGATATTAATGCATTTCTTTGTCTTATTCCCAATAACTCTCTTAAAAACAGAATCCTCCTCTCACAAAGAAATTTGGGAACACTCTTTTTATGTGCAGCAAGCAGAATCAGAAAGTACTAGAAACAGGAAAGGTTATAAAGATTGTTGAGTGGGCAGTATTTTTTTCAGAAGGAAATCTGTATTTTTGGAAGAGGAGAACATTTTGGTTAGTAGAAATAGCAAGAGCCCAGAACATATACCAGCATGAACAGAGGTCATTCAGACCTGGAGAGGCAGACAAAATAAAAGGGAGCCAGAAAAAAAAGTTTACATTCTTACAATGACACGTGGAAAGACAACTCAAAGCAAAGGTGAATTTTGACGTAATGGAACAAAGGCTTCATTGCAGATTAAGCCGTACATACTCTACTCCCAGTTGCTCTGTCAATGAGGTTGCTTCCAGTGTGCTAATGACTTTAAAATGAGAAATACTACAGTGAAATGAAGTAAACAGTAATTGGAAGCAGAGCCATGTGAGTTCCACAGAGATTCTTTCTGAAAGAAATTCTGGGGGATGTTCAGAGGGCTTAGCCTTATAAGACTGTGAGATCATGGATAAAGGCTTAACTGTTATTATAAGAGTGTTTCTGGATTCAGCCATTTCCCACCTGACCCTCAGTCTATGCAATTAATAACTCTTGTGGGTAAAACTTTCCCATATTGTCTCACTTAGTCTATTTATGGATATTACCACCTGGAAGCAATGGTGGAAAAGCGATAGGTCTGACAGATGTAGCAAAACAAAGCACCCAAACAGAAAATAGGACAAATATGTTCCACACAATATTTGGATAAACAATGAATATATATATATATATATATATATATATATATATATATATAATATGTATATAAAGAATTCATTGTTTTGAATCTGAAATTCAAATTTAACTTGGTGTACTCTATTTTTGTTTGCCAACTCTGTAAAGGAGAAATATATAGATGGCCTTGGGGGGCTGGGGAACCTAGGAATCAAGCTTGCCCTTGCACTAGCTGGGGGTTCAAATTCTGGTATTTACCCACCTGGATCTGGAAGTGAAGCAAACTCAACAGAGGTCATCTGATAGATAGTACTCACATTTTAATGGAACCTGAAAAATCCCCGAGATCTTTCTTATAAAAGGCCTGTCTTTCATAGATTTCTGATTTGGTGAGACTGGGACAAGTTTCAATATCTGTATTTTATCAAGTACTTCAAGTAGATCTATTATAGATCATTTCAGGCTACATTTTGAGAAAAAAAAATCTAGCCCAACTTTCCTTTTTTAAAACATATTAGGTAAATGCTTAAAGAAATAAAATAATGTTCTAATCTATCAATATTTGCTGTATTATAAATGAAAGCAAAATAATAATTCATTTGAAATAACAAGAATGCCATTGATGTAAGAATAAAAGCATATACTGATAAAAATAATTACATTTTCCAAAATAAAAAAAAAACAACATAATTTAGTGAGAATGTTTTTCTTTGCATTACTGTAAATTTCTCTAATACATGTTTTAATAAGACAACTTGATTGTCATATCTTCTGCATTTACTGTTTTAATATTTTGTTTTGGTTGAAGCATATGAAGAAAATTGGCATCCCACGGATATGTAGTTAAAAAAAAAGACACATTTTAAAAGCCTTTTCACTTAAGAGTGAATATTCTTTTTAAGAAAACTAAGTGGGCAGCAACATTCATATTAACTCTACATTGACTCTGTTTTACAATGTTTTCTGAACCATCAAGCCCTTAATGTAAAACGTGGAAAATGTAAAACGATACAATATTGTTTTATAAGCCTTTGCCTAGAACTTAAAAAGAACCAAATGTGTAAGTTTTTAAGGCAAATATATTAACAAAATGGCATCATTAGATTTTATGAGACAAATAGAACTTATCAGTGAATGAAATATGAATATATATTTGTGTATACATGTATACATACAGGTATTTATGTGTATGTGTGTATATACATTCATTGTGCATGTATATGTGTATACAGAAGACAAAACAGGTTTTCTGTTTTGGTCCAGCAACCAAAAAGTAGGGTCTCCTTTCTCAAACTAGGTCCTTTCTAAATACATGATGATGACCTTGATGAATTTACGAGAAAATAGTAATTTTTAAAATATTTTATTTTATGTCACAATACTTAAAGTGCCTTAACTATGCTCTATATTTGATGTTTCTGTTCTAATTCATCTTTTAAGAAAAAATAAAGAATCTAGATGTTGAAAGTGTAAGAAAATAATACCTGTGGAAAAGCTCATTTTTTTCACACCTGTTATCCTATGGCTCAAAAAAAACAGTGAAATATGATGAACCAATACACATGTTTCCTTGCTGTCTTGGGAGAAATAAGGCAGAAAGAGAAGAAGGATGAGAAAGGGAAGGATGAAGAGGAGGAGGGAGATGAAGAGGTGGAGGAGGGGTTGGTTGGGGTGGTGAGGTGGAGAAAGAGAAGGACAAGATTGCATAAAAGTCACCCAGAATTCATTTTGGCAGATCATTATCCCCTTGTCTCTGTCTCCTAATCCATATTGCCCTTTTTAGGAGGTGAGGAACCACAGGTAAA